CAGTTGCATTTCTATACTCTAATAACAAACTAGCAGAAAGAGAAGTCAAGAATCAATCTCATTTACAATTGCAAAAAGAATAAAATATCTAGAAATAAATTTCACTAAGGAGGTGAAGACCCATACAACGAAAACTATAAGACATTACTGAAAGAAATTGAAGATGACATAAAGAAATGGGAAAATATTCCGTGCACGTGGATTGGAATAATAAACATAGTAAAAATGTCCATATTACTTAAAGCAATCTACAGATTTAGTGCAATCCCAATGAGAATCCCACTGACATTCTTCATGGAAATAGAACAAAGAATCCTAAGAATCATATGGGATAACAAAAAACTCCAAATAGCTAAAGCAATCCTGAAAAAAAGAACAAAGCTGGAGACATCACAATCCCTGACTTCAAAATATACCAGAAAGTTGGGCCTGGCACTGTGGCCAGGTGGTTAAAGTTCTGCACGCTCCACTTCAGCAACCGGGTTCATGGCCTCAGATCCCAGGCGTGGACTTACTCCACTCATCAGCCACGCTGTGGAGGTGTCTCACATACAAAGGAAAAAACAGAGGAGGACTGGCACAGATGTTAGCTCAGGGCTAATCTTCCTCAAGCAAAAAAAGGGGAGGATTGGCAATGGATGTTAGCTTAGGATGACTCTTCCTCAGGGAAAAGAATTAAAATTAAAAAGAAGTATACTACAAAGCTATGCTAATCAAAATGGCATGGTCCTGGCACAAAAACAGGCACAGAGAGCAATGGAATAGAATTGAAAGCCCAGAAATAAAACCACACATCTATGGACAGCTGATTTTCGACAAAGGAGCTAAGAACATACAATGGAGAAAGGAAAGTGTCTTCAATAAGTGGTGTTGGGAAAACTGGACAGCCACATGCAAAAGAATGCAAGTAGACCATTATCTTAGGCCATACACAAAAATTAACTCAAAATGGATCAAAGACTTGAAGGTAAGTCTTGAAATCATAAAACTCCTAGAAGATATAGGCAGTACGCTCTTTGGCATTGGTCTTAGAAGGATCTTTTCAAATACCACGTCTCCTCAGGCAAAGGAAACAAAAGAAAAAATAAACAAGTGGGAGTTCATCAGGCTAAAGAGCTTCTGCACGGCAAAGGAAACCAGGAACCAAACGAAAAGACAATTGACCAACTGGGAGAAAATATTTGCAAATCATATACCTGATAGAGGGTTAATCTCCATAATATATAAAGAATTCACACAACTCAACAACAAAACAAACAGCTTGATCAAAAAATGGGCACGGGATACGAACATTTTCCCAAAGGAGATATACAGATAGCCAATAGACACATGAAAAGATTCAACATCACTGATCATCAGGGAAGTGCAAATCTAAACTATACTAAGATGCCATCTTACACCTGGTAGAATGGCTAAAATTACCAAAACAAAAAACAACAAATGTTGGAGAGGATGTGGAGAAAAGGGAACCCTTGTACACTGCTGGTGGGAATGCAAACTGGTGTGGCCACTATGGAAAACAGTATGGAGATTTCTCAAAAAACTAAAAATGTAACTACCATACGACCCAGCTATCTCACTACTGGGTATTTGTCCAAAGAACTTGAAACCAACAATTCAAAGAGACCCATGCACCCCTATGTTCATTGCAGCATTATTCACAATAGCCAAGAAGTGAAGCAACCCAAGTGCCCATGGACTCATGACTGGATAAAGAAGAGGTGGTATATATATACAATGGAATACTACTCAGCCATAAAAAAGACAAAATTGTCCCATTTGCAACAAGGATGGACCTTGAGGGAACTATGTTAAGTGAAATAAGCCAGAGAAAGACAAACACCGTATTATTCCACTCATATGTGGAAGACAAACACATGGACAAACAGAACTGTTTAGTGGTTACCAGGGGGAGGGGGTCAGGGGGTGGGCATAAGGTGTAAAGGGGCGCATATGTATGGTGACAAATAATAATGCATAGCTGAAATTGACAATGTTATAAACTATTACGACCTCAATAAAAACAAACACCCAACAAGACACGAAGAATAGACAAAAAGTGGTCTAACAAAATGCTGGCTGGTTAGGCTCTCCAAGGATCAGACTCCAGTCACGTTCACCGCGAGTTGAGTAACTGTGGAATATGCTAATCGCTGAGGTGTAAAAACAATTCAGATCATGTCATCAATTAGCATATTCTGTTGCACAGCATAGCCCCTCACCTATGGAGTGTCCGCCCCACTAGGGATACGAGGCCTCAACTCCTCCCCCTTGCACTGCATCCTCAGCAGCTGCCTGCCAGTGGCTGGCCCGAGAGCTCCTCTAATCACTGGTCCTAGGATCCAGGCCACAGGAGGACCACATCCCATAAGACAGTGTGTTGAGCAAGAAGTCAGGGGCTGTGTGAGAGGTGGGGCAGGAGCAGCTGTCAAGGCAAGAGGCACAGGCCTTAGCAAAGGAGCCTCAAAAGAGGGCCTGGGGTCGCTTTGCTGTCTTGCTTCCTCTCTGTGTCTCAGTGCCAGAAGCCCACAGTGATAAGGGTTACTGCAGAGGGTGTGTAAGGAGATGAGCTCCACAAGCCCCAGAGGGAATTCTTCCATTCCAGTGACGAGTCTGCAGGTGGCCCGAACTTCACCCAGCCCTCCTGGCCTATGAGAAGAAGACACTTGAACTTCTCCAAGATGTAACTTCAGAATGCCTCTTAACCCTCCTGTTCCCAGGAGAACTTACTAAGAGTGTGGCAGTGTCTTGGAAAGCACAGACTGACGGGCCACCCACAAGCTCCAAGTAACCACCGAGCCCCAAGCTGAAAGGCCAAACCCCAAGTGACCCTAAGTGGGACACGAGCCTGCCTCGGAGAAGGGGCCAGTGGCTGGGTCTCAGGTGTGAGGACAGCCTTGCACTTGTACCTTTTTCACTTGGAATCACGTGAATATGTCCTCCATTAGAAAAGTAATTAGGGCTGGCTTGGTGGCACAGTGGTTAAGTGTGCACATTCCGCTTTGGCGGCCCGCGGCTCCCCGGTTTGGATCCCAGGTGCAGACATGGCACTGCTTGGCATGCCATGCTGTGGGAGGCATCCCACATATAAAGTAGAGGAAGATGGGCATGGATGTTAACTCAGGGCCAGTCTTCCTCAGCAAAAAGAGAAGGACTGGCAGTAGTTAGCTCAGGGCTAATCTTCCTCACAAAACAAAACAAAATCAGCCTCTTTACATTGCCATATCTGTCCCTCAACTAGAAAAGGCAGCCCTGTCACAGGGCCCCAACGCCCTCACGACGCAGGCAGCGCAGCACCTCACTTCAAAGCACCACGCCCTGCCGGGACTCCCAGCCATCTCGTCCACGTTCAGAAGCCTCTGAAGCAGAAGAAAACAAGTCATGAAGGTGAGGAGCCATATTCTACGGCCAAATTCAGGCCCAGCTGGCAGTGAGGTCACTCCAGGGAGCCAGCAACCAGAGACACTATCATTTTCTAAGGCCCTCTGACGGGTTTTGCTTTTTCCTTCTGCTCTTGAGACCTGAGCAAGACGACAGATGCAACCCAGGTGTGTTGTGTGAGGTATGGAAACCCAGCTATTCAGAGACGTGTGATTGTGAAGAAATCAGTAATTACTTGAAGTGTTTACCTCGTTACTCTAAGCCTCGCTCACTTACCCACTCTGACTGAAGTCACCTTGCACCTGCCTGAGGAGGGGGATGTGAGACTCACACACGCCTGGACCGGCTGCCCTCAAACACACACTGCTCACGCCAGCCCAAGGGGGCAGTCCTCACCTTCTGCGAGCCCTTCCAGGTGAAGGTGCACGCCCACCCGGCCCGCCAGGCGCAGTCTGAAAGAGGCTCCGTGGTGGAAAAGTCAAGCTCACTCTGACCTCCACCGTTAGCCCTGCACCTTGCCGCTGGCTGTATTTCTCCCAGTTACACGGGGTCTCTCTCAGTTCTAGCTCTGTCACTAACAGTCTTCCCAGTAGGTCAGGGGTGAGGAAATTTTCTCCATAAAGGGTCAGCCAGTAAACAGCCCAGAGGTGTCTGCCGGCTCTGCTGGGAGCACGCACATCTCTGAGAAGGACTGTGACAAGCCTCCCAGAGGGCTGACAGGTCCATCGTGCCACCGAGCACTGGCAACACAGCACAAATTAGCCACTCTCCCATAGCCACTCTGAGCGTTCCAGCCAGACTGCTGGGGAACACTGCAAACCAAAGGCCCAGCAGCCTAGAAGGAGGCGCTGTCTCTCACACTCTGTCCATGGGGACAACTCGCCCAAGGTCTCCCTCCAGGAGAGTGACAGGCATCTGGGAGCTGACGGGCAGGATTTGGGAAGAGAATTTCCTCAAGTCAGAGTAAAATGACACTATTCACTACTTACTCTGGGCCAGGCACTGAGATAAGCACTTTGCATAAATCTCCCTTTTAATCCTAACAAGCTTCTGAGCCAGGTTATGATCCTTATTTTCCAAGTGAAGGAACCGGAGGCTGACTGCCTAACCAGAGACCAGGGACCCTGGAGGGGCTTGGAGCCCCTGCCTGTGGGACCCAGAGCCCACGGCTGGAGCTCAGGTGGCAGGTGCACCTCAAGGGATCATGACCTCTCTGAAAGGCACTCCTTGTCCTTCCACCACCTGCCCCCACGCCTGCCTGAGCTGGAATGAGGTCAGACTAGTCTCTGTGTAAAGACAACTGGACTGAACTGGAAGAGGCCCTGTGACCCTGACCCCGTTAGCTCTCTAACAAGGGAAGACACAGAGAGGATTTCAATTGCTTTGCCCTTTCACCCTTTTTAACCAATGCTTGTCCACCCTCATCTAAAGAGGTCACCTTCTCTAAAGAGAAAAAAGGTTTGGTGGACAGCACTGTAAAGATGAGAGCCGCCGCCTCAGGCGTGGGCGGCACAGAGGCTCACTCACACACATGGCCCTCAGGCACCTGGACACAAGGTGGCTTCGGCATCCGTGAGTTAGACAAACGGCACCAGGGCTGAGGGCAGGCAGTGTCTTACCTTCCTTACTGAAGCTGTTGCTGGAGAGGTACGCCTGGATGGTGGCATCATGTAGCGTGACAGTCACGTTACTCATGTGGATCTGATCGCTGCTTACACACCTGTATGTTTTATTTATGTCTGCCTTGATGTCAGTTACGGATTCCACAGTCTTGACTTCTGTATGAAAAAAAAATCCAGTTCTCACTACTTGAAGTGCTTGGTGAAAAGTAATTTTAGATACTCCCCAACCCAATTTTCTTCCCTTCATAATTGGTGAGTTTTGGTTCGTACCCTTGGAGCTTGCGTTGGGGAAAATCTGTGCATCTGACAAGTTGTAAACAAAACGCATCAGCTGGACCCTGTAACGTGTGGCATTTCTTGCAAAGGTGAGGGTCAGTGTATGTCCTCTTCCAAAAGCAACCACGAGACTGGGGCCAGAAGCATTGTCTTTGCCACAAGAGCTGCTGTTTAATACCACTGCATCAGAGGGCAGGTCGAAGGTCACATTCTAGAACACACACAGCGATGAGAGACCCCAATTAGAACGCAGGCTATTAAGGGAATCAGAAATACCAAAGAAAGATCTGAGTCTGACACAAACTGAGACCTCAGGCCCAGATCAGATATCACCGTTAAGGTATTCATTTTTAATAAAAGTAAAAAACACAAAAAAGGTCAATATGACATGTCAGTAATAGACCAAAAAGTAAGTAATTCAAGTGTAAGATAAAGTTGACTTAATTATTCATAGAATTAAATATTCTTTATTAATATAACTTTAATTTACAATAGAATTAAAACTAAAGCTATCTTAGCAAACCGAAATAATTATAATGGGCTTCAGAATGAGCTGTGTATTTATATTCGAAAAAAAGTTATTACTACTTGTTAGCTATAGAAATGTGTGTTAGAAGAATACGTCTTTTTAAACAAAGAGAAGAGGGTGTTTACTGCAGAACTGTTTTAACTTACTATTACAAGCCAAACAAACAACTAGAAAACAACCTAATGTCCATCAAAATGAACTAAATGGTTAACTAAATGGCTAAATGTACTATGGTTAAGCTGTCCTAAAAAATGACAGAACTACATGAGGTGACAAGGACATGTTTTGTGCAACAGTAAGGCACATAACAACATGTGGATGATCACATTACTGTAACACAATTAATATGTAACGAAATATTTTAAAAACCCAAACAAAAAAAAAGTGAAGTAGAAATTAAAATAAAAGGTGCCTGGACAACTCTTTATAATTTGAGATATTTCTATGGACACAAACCTTCCTGGTTTTCTTCTGTTTTGACAGCGACCACATGTGTACAGAGCCTGTATGAACTAATGAGGCCCGAGCAGCTGGCACAAAGTCCAAGTGCTCTCGAGAACTGCACATCCCCAGCAACGCAGGCCCACCACTGCCTCTGAGCGGCAGGAAAGATACAGTGCTGTGACATGGAGGTGGGCAAGGAAGGGTGACGTTTCAACAAAGAACTGACAGTGTGGTTTAGGGATACATTTAAACGAGTGAATGTTAAGTAGAATGAGTAAGTGAAATGTCCATTAACAGGTAACTGACAGAGGAAGACATACAAAAAGATGCTGCTCATTTGTTAGAACTCAGGTAAACGCAAAAAGCCTGTTTTAACAAAAGAACAAAGGGACATTTTAATCAAACTGGTATAATGCTGACAGCACTGCACATCAAACAACTGTTTATACGCAATTCTCAGAACATAACAGTTTAAGGCAAATTTGACAAATCAAAAATGCTATCTTCACAGAGCTATACATTGGGCATGAAAAAGAATATAAGAAAACAACTACCAATAAGGGGATGATGTAACAAATCAGGCTGGTTAACATAATGAAGTGCTACATTGTGATTGTAAAAGATAATCATGAAGAAAACAGGAAAAATCAGTGACAGCACAGAACAAAATGGACTGTAGGTTACGACTGCAGCTTCAGTAGATAAAACAGCATAGGCTTCTACAGGCAGTCATAATCTGTAAAATAAAGGCAGTACATAATATATAGGCATAGTCTACTGATGAGCCCAGAAGGAAATATGCATACGTGAAAACAACTGTGTTAAGGTGGTATCCTTTTTCAAGGATGAAATTAATCTTAACACACACGCACAAGCAACGCACGCGGCACGCGGCTGTCCTACCTTAAAACCACTGTTGGTATCATAGTTGGTCAAGAAGGCAGCGGAGAAGTTGGCCATTATACAAGCTGTCCCGTTGCCATCTTTCACCACAAACACTGCTGATGCACCGTGCATGAGGCCTGCTAACTCCAGGAAAGACAGAAATGACCAAAAGCCTTTTTGAAAACACAGCTGGATATTTCTGCTGTCTACAGCTGTAGCAATAATGGACTTTATTAGGAGACTGCACTGTGCTTCTTAAACCACTAAAGAACTACACACATGGAATACCCAGGCTGGGTTCAGCTGGGCCTTCTGGCCTCCTGGACACATTCTGAAAATGTTAACTCTAAACCCATCCAATCAGTTTGCCAATCTGGTCAACAGCTCTTTAATGCTTTACTTCAGAATACTTAGCAGAAGTCGCATGTCAATTCCTGGGTCACCCCTTGGCATAGGCTGCTCCACACTCATTCCTCAGAGGATCTCTGGGATATGTGGTGGGGTTCTGGAGGCACAACTCAACCTAAATACTGGCCTTCTACAGAGATCCCTGGGAAGGCTGGCAATCTCTTTCACTGTGATCCTCAACTGCTATTTAAACTTGGATCTGTTTGTGCCTCTCACGGACTGCTGGTATGGCAAGAAAAGCCACGGACTCAAAGGTCTGAGCTCTCTGCCCAGTTTCAGAAAGGTTCTCAAAAAACAGTGTTTCAATTGAACCTGGAGTTAGCTGTGTGAGTTTAGAACATCACTCAACATGTCTTGGTAGGTCTGCTGTACCCAAGAGGGAAGAGACAGACGAAGCTCCCAAGTGTCCTTGCAGCTCGAGAGCCATCACCGCCACGCTTCCTCCTTGAGTGAGTTCTCAGGGCCAGGCCGTCTCTGGCTTCTTCACCTCCCACAGCCCTGACCAAGCAGTTTAGTGGCAAATGTAATCTGATCACTGTGGTAGACAACTGAGTAGTTTTACGAGCCACACATTTTAGCGCATTGTTTTTTATAGATGGGCAAAAATAGGTGCATTTGCTAGTCTAAAGCCCCACAGGTGTCAGGCACCACTGTCTGCTGGAACGCTCAGAGCTGACGTGCCCTCCTGTCTGCGCTGCCACAGGCTCCCGCTCGCCCTTCCACCAGGCGTTTACACACCCGGCTCTGATGGCTCCAAGGGTAAATGTGACAGGCACACTTGGAAGGCAGCATCCTCAAAGGACGCTCTAACTTTTCACTCTGAAATCCCGTCCCTGAGCCGGCCCCAGTGGCCTAGCAGTTAAGTTCAGTGCGCTGGGCTTGGTTCCCGGGCGTGGACCTATACCGCTCCGTTAGTGGACATGCTGTGGTGGCATCCACATACTAAAAATAGAGGAAGACTGGCATGGATGTTAGCTCAGGGCAAATCTTTCCCAGCAAAAAGAAAAGGAGATAAAATCCCTGTCCTGACAAAGCAAATGACTGCAACGAACCCACTTCAGTTTACCCCTGGGACTTCCACAAAACAAACTCTTTAGAGCCAACTACTATTCAAACCTACAGCACAGACCTAGAGCAGAAACCTCATCATCTCCCCTTAAGCCTCTGGTAAATGAGATACCAAAACCTATCGTAAAGAAAAGTTGCTACATAATGAAAACATAAACCATAGCAAACAAGGAAATCCGTGCCATGCCACTTTTTGTGTTTTGCTTGGCAAATTTCTAACATCTCCTCCCCTCAGATACTTGGGCAAAACTACACTAAAAGCACTTCTAATGAATGAATATTCCATTTTAAAAACATAGAGAAAATTCCATAACTTGTTTTTGACAAAGTAAAAGTTTCTAAAAACACACAAGCTGGTTCTCAGGCCTTCTGAGAGGGATCGGGTAAGAGCACAAGAGCAATGGAGTGAGGTCAGCAAGGCAAAGAAGCAGGTTCAGGAGGCAGAAATAGAAGTGCGTGTTAAAGCACAGGGGCTAAAGCCAGAGGAACAGTGGACACTGACCCAGCTCATCACGCACGTGGGCCGCTGCCTGCCCTGGGCGCAGGCTCCCTCAGGTCTGAGCCACCCTCCCCTGGCCCTGGCCCAGCTGCTGGAGGGTCCCATGCAATCACGTGTGCCGTGGCACAGCAGGCTGCTCCCTCCCATGGGAGCACGCACAGGTCAGTTCTTACTGAGCTGCCCTTCCAAAAAGTTCCCTAAATCATTAAAAACTTTCTACTGACTCACAGCACTTCATGAGAAACAGTGCGGATTAAACAACTTCTCATACAACTTTTTCATTTAGTAAATATGCTGAGATTTCAAAGGAAAACAAAGAAGTATTACTAAAATTTAAAATAAGCTCTAGGAGCACTAGATGCCGACATTTATTCTGGAGAGGTGCAGAAACTTTCAATTATTAAAATAAGGCACTTACCCCAGAAGCCACTTTCGGTCAAGAGGAAAATGTCTACAAGACCGTTAGAATACAAAATTCTAAGAGAAACGTATGTATGCTAATGGCCAGAAATTTTTCGGTTTTTGTTTTTTTTAATTCTGTAACAGGAGCAGTTGATTAAAAAAACCCTCCTCAAATCAGGTAAAATGTGCCCGATCCTTTGAGGCGTGCCCTCTCAAGCCAGCCCCCTGGCCTGCTGACAACTGCTGATCGCCAGCAGTACTGCACTCAGCTGTGAACTCCATCACTGCTCCAGGGTCAGAAAAAGGAGTAACTTCGGGATATTCCTTCAAAACACCCTCCTTGCAGAAAACAAGTACAGCGCTGGGAAGCACGCCTGCTTCTGAGTAAGATCTGCTGTGCAACAGGTTCCCCCACCACTTACTGGCTGTGTGACCTGGGGCCAGCAGCAGCCGCCACGCCCTGAGTCTAGGCACCCGTGAAGTGGAAGAGAGGGTGCTGACACCTCAGGGTCATTAGAGCACCAGAGGAGCCAATGCATGCAGAGCATTCAGTACAGGGCATTAGCACGGGCTCTAATATCAGCTGTTACCATCTAAACATCCAGTGGTACACAGACCTCATCTATCAAGTTCACTGAATCCTCAGTACCTGACAAAGTCAAGCAAGCACTGCACTTAACAAGCTCTTGCAACACACTTGCTCTGTGCCAGGTGCCACTCCAAACACTCTGCAGGTGACTAAGTCATCATGACAACCATCATAGGTAGACACTATTACAATTCCCTTTTACAGATGTGGAGACTAAGGCACAGAGAAGTTAACTTGCTCAAGGTCACACAGCTAGTGAGGGTGCAGAGCCAGATCTACAACCGGGTCTGTGCTGCCGTGGGCTGCCTGCAGAGTGAGCGCCACGTCTGAGCCACCGTTCAAAACATGTGCCCGTCTGTGCTGCCGTGGCTGCCTGCAGAGTGAGCGCCACATCTGAGCCACCGTTCTAGCCAGCATTTGGTGAGCGAGGGAACACACTTCAAATTATGAAACACTTGCCTTTGAAATGAAAGAGATTGCCATCTAAAGAAATGAGTCAATAAACTTCTTCATTAAGATTTTTATAAAAAATTATTTCTAGTTTGTCTTGGCTTCTTTTAAATCCAGTATTTTTCTTCTTCTTTTTAACCAGAGATATATAATCATCTATCAAGATTTAAAGGAAGACAAAGAAGACCAAGGTTCCATCGCAGACACTGAATCACCACCTCTAAGGGTAGGGCACCAGTATGCACATTTCTAAAAAGCCGACGTATGCACGTTTCATTCGGGATCACAGCTGTAAAACTGGACGTCTCAACTATGTCCTGGGTACTTCCTACGTGAGGCACGAGGAGGCTGTAAGATGAGGAAGGGAGACTCGTGCACAAATAATCAAAACACAGCTGAACTGATACTCTAGTAAAGCACACGCTATGCACACATGTAGTCAAGTCCTGTGGACCCAGAGAGAAGGGAGGACTAACACTGCCTGGGATGGGTCTAATAACATAAATTAAAAATTATGGACCTAAACACATTTTGACCTCAAAGGTAGGGAAGAATTTGGCCACCAACCTGAGTAACTGACAAACTCCCACAATCAAGGGTAACATTAATTAGTATAAACTTTTCAAACTTCCTAAGTGACAGCTCTTTATTTGGAAAGGGGAAGGAGGTCATCCAGCTGACATCAACAGTTTAAAGAGTCTCATTACACAATTACATTTAATCTCACATATCAAAAAGTTTCAGTTCATGCTTGTCTAGTCTTTCTACCAAGTACTCAAACACAAAAGAAGCTTTACGTAATTTCTAATTATTAATGCAGGAGGAATTAGTAATTTAGAAGTTTGAAATATTTTTAGAAAAGATGCTTTTTAGTGAAATTCTGCAATAAAATAAACATTATTTTAAAGAAATCTAAATCGTTGTTAACAGATCTTTCCCAAAAGTTGGATTTTAATTGAATATGAAATTTAAACGATATGACAGAATAGGCATTAAAAAGCTAATTATAAGCACAACACACCAAGGTATCAGAACGTAAGGAAATTATGGATTTTTCTCTTCATTTTTAAGCAGAATTTTTAAGACATGACACAAAATATTAAAGTTTTAATGTGTCTGAGTTTTATTAAAAAAAGTCAGTGCAGCTGCTCTGATGGGACAAAACTTGTTCCAGCAACTCGTCCTGCAGCTGATCACACCTGCCAGAGAAGGGCACAGCTCACTGCTCCAATGAGGTCGTCCCTCGTGGCTATTCATGCAGCTCAGAAATCCCTTTCACACAACACACCCAATTAAATGTGAAACCAAGATCCATTCAGTGGCAATACCATAATTTGAGAGTAGGATGAGACCTAGAGATGTTTAAAGAATTCACGGGCAGGTGTGCTCAGAGTATGCGTGTCTACTTAACTCACGACCTCCTGCCAGTCGTCTTCTGTATATTTCGGACCCTGACACTTACATAAACCATCCCATGTTCCTGGGGGAGAGATGAGGGTGGCATGGAGAGGGGTTCACCAAGGGCCTCTAAAGACAAAGTCAAACCACGTGGTGAGGTCCGTTGACGGGACAGCACACACTCCTCTTTATTGTTACGACAGATAAATGAGAGCAGAATTCCTCAATAAGACGCTGAGCGCTTCTATGACTTGGGCAGACTGAAGGAGAGCCAGACTCTGCCCAACGCGTGGATGGAGCCCCTCGTTCCGACCCACAGGGACCGGCACACAGAACAGGGCCGCGCTGTGCCACGACTCACTGGAAACGAACACGGCCGCTGTCGGTCGAGGCCAGTCCTACCGTGCGTCCTGGCCACTGTGGGTTCTCCTAAACTCAAGACAACTGCCAGGCACTCCGCCTAAGTGCAGAGTCCCAGTAACACCAGCACCGCACGCCACGCTCAAAGGGGCGCCGCCGCCCAGCGCTCCTCCGGGCACAGTCCGTGGGGCAGAGCTGCGGGGGCTCACCCGCCGGGATGGGGGTCGCAGGGACCCCGCAGGCCTTGCCGTCCCGGGATGCACAGCGCCCCATGGACCTCCGCGGCCAGCCCTGCCCTAAGCCAAGGACCACCACAGCCGTCCAGCAGCCAGCAAGCCACGCGAGCAGACTCCAACCTGACGCCCGAGACCCGACCCCTCGGCCACCCGGACCCGGCTCCCCAGGCAGCGGCCAGCGGGCTCCGAGCAGGACGCCACGCGTGGACTTCGGCCGGGGCGGGCACGACTCGCGGGCCACGCCGGCCTGCGGCTCCCACTGCCCCCCGACCCCGCCGCCGCCCCCCGCCGTGTGACCCCCGACACCGCTGCCCCTCGGGTCCTTGTGCCATCCCTCGACCCCGTCGCTGCCCCCTAGGCCGTGTGTCGTCCCCCGACCCCGCTGCACCCCGGGGCCATGTGTCCCCCCGACACCACTGCCCCCCGGGGCCTTGTGTTCCCCCCGACCCCGCCGCCCCCCGGGCCGTGTGTCCCCCGACCCCGCTGCCCCCCGGGCCGTGAGTCGCCCCCCCGACCCCGCCGAAGCCCCCCGGGCCGTGTGTCCCCCGGGTCGCTGTGCCACCCCCAGACTCCGCCGCCGTCCCCCAGGCCGTGTGTCCTCCCCGACCCCGCCGCCGCCCCCCGGACGTGAGTCCCCCGACCCCGCTGCCCCGGGCCGTGAGTCGCCCCCCGACCCCGCCGCAGCCCCCGGGCCGTGTGTCCCCCGCCCCGACCCCGCCGCCGCCCCCCGGGCCGTGTGTCGCCCCCAGACCCCGCCGCCGCCCCCGGACGTGAGTCCCCCGACCCCGCTGCCCCCGGGCCGTGTGTCGTCCCCCGACCCCGCCGCCGCCCCCCGGGCCGTGTGTCCTCCCAACACCACTGCCCCCCGGCCGTTTGTGCCCCCTCCCCGACCCCGCCGCCGCCCCCCGGGCCGTGTGTCCCCCGACACCGCTGCTCCCGGGTCGCTGTGCCACCCCCAGACCCCGCCGCCGCCCCCAGGCCGTGTGTCCTCCCCCGACCCCGCCGCCGACCCCCGGACGTGAATCCCCCCGACCCCGCTGCTCCCCGGGTCCTTGTGCCACCCCCAGACCCCGCCGCCGCCCCCGGACGTGAGTCCCCCCGACCCCGCTGCCCCCCGGGCCGTGAGTCGCCCCCCGACCCGCCACAGCCCCCCGGGCCGTGTGTCCCCCGCCCCGACCCCGCCGCCGCCCCCGGGCCGTGTGTCGCCCCCCGACCCCGCCGCGCCCCCCGGACGTGAGTACCCCGCCCGCCGGCCTCACCGAGCAGCAGCAGGAGAAGCGGCCGCCGCCGGGCGCCGCTGGGAGCCGCCATGGGCGCGAGGGCCGCGAGGCGGAGCGGGAGCCGCGCGCGCGGGGCGGTTGGGCCGCGGGCAGGGGGGCCGGGCGCGAGGGGCGGCGGTCCCGCGGTCTAGAGGCCCGGCCTCTTGGGCGCCCGCGGCTGGAAGGAGACCCGCGGCCGGCAGCGCCTGTCACGTGAGGCCCCGCCGCGCCCGTGCCGTCACGTGACCTTGCGGATCTCGCGAGAGCGTGCGGGCGCCCGGGGCCCGGCTCCTGCGAGTGCGACGTCCTCCCCGCGCCGAGCGCCCGCCTCGCACGTGACCGGGGTCGGACACGTGACCCCGCCGGGCACGTGACCGCGGTGCCACGTGACCCGGGCTGGGTGCCGGGAGCCCCCTGGTCCGCTGCGGCCTGAGGCGGAAAGTGGGCGGCGGGTCCGGGAGAGGAGGGCGGAGGGGCGGCGCGGCCGGGCAGGGGCTCCGTCAGGGCCGCCACGCGGCGGGAGGAGAAGCCGGGTTTGAACTCGGAGAAGCGCGGCGTACCCCCGGAGACCCGCTCCTCGTCGTAGGTGCAGTGGGTCGCCTGGGCCCCCTGCCGGCGGGAGGGGCCCCGGGGCCTGTCCCTGGGGGAGTGGGGCTTCCACAAGGACCTTGGTGCCGGGCTTCTTGATCTCAAGTTCATGCCTGAGGCCGGGAAGCCAAACACTGCGACGGGGGTGCTTGGAGATGGAGAAAGATTCATTGGAGTCGGCCAAAACGAGTAGCCCGCAGCCTGAGTTCACTCGAATCGGCCCCCAAGAGCGGACAGCAGGGGGTTTACAGCGCTAAGGGGCTTGACAGGAGGAGCTTTGGGAAACAAAGGGGTCCCTCCCGATCAGCCCCTGGGCAGTCTGACTCCTGGCCTTCGACCTGCCGAGGGCCGTCCGGTGACCGAAACCTCCCGAAGGCTCTCTCTCCTGCAAGACAAGCTCACAAATCCTCGAGACCCGAGTCACCTCTCAAGTTAAGCAAACAGCAAATTGGTTTAGTATCTACAGTACCCCTCAGGTACCCGGCTTCAACCTGAGTCCTACACGCTTCTCTCCTTCGTGGGGTTAGGAAGTTCTCCGAGTCCTGGCATCTTTAACTTTGGGGTCCTCTAGTCCGTGGTTCTCAGGGAGGATGGAAGTGGGCATTAGAAAGGAATGGAGATGTTTGAACACGCGTGTTGAATGTGTATTACAATTTGTGTTTGAAGAGTTGATGAAAATAATCCATGACCAATCTATAAATGAAAATTGGGGTGAGTTTATTCTGAGCCAAATCTGAGGACTAGCTTAGCCCGGGGAAGGAAGGGCATGAAAGAAGTGGGGTGTACAGAGACGGTAGTGAAAGAGCACGTATCACATATGATTGGAATGTCCCTTTTACAAGAGTCATGAGACTGTCGGCGTAGTGATTGATGGACACAGCAGGTAGTAGGTCTGCTGTGTCAGTGGACACGGCAGGGTGGCAGGTCTGTTGTCTTGAGCTGGGTGGTCACAGGTGAGCAGCAGCAATCAATTCCTAGCCTAAGGAAAGACGCTTATCCTTAAGGAAGTACCAATGTGGGGGAAGTTGCATCTTTATCTTAAGGCCATTTGTTCTCGTCTTTGGGACACAGCAAATGCTCAAAGCAGATGTACAATGCACGCTCAATGGCCACCTCAGGCCCTTTTGAAAGAACGAGGTCAGGCCGAATTAGTTTTACACCAAATGGCTTCCTCATATATTCCAGTATATCCTATTGCTTGCCATTTGTGTGTCAGAAAACAAAACAAAAATGTTTTTTTTTTAAAACAACACAAAGTACGGAATGTAAGCTAGACAAAATCTTAGTTGAAGGGGGTTCAGCAGTTCCAGTGATTCCCAGCTGTGACACCCTCCTGAAGGATGGAGGGGAGGGCTGTGTAGCACTTACCAAAAATGTCCAGGAACACGGGTACATCCTGTATGCTCCGTACATTCCACAGAAAAGGAAATCGCAGTCTCGCTGCTTCTGGAACTTTCCTAAAGTACCCCTCTTGCCCACTCCCTGATGCCTGCAGGAAAAGGTCCCTTTCCTTGGTCTTCCTAGAGGTTCTTTGTGTGGTTCTTCTCTGCCTCCCTGGCTGCCCGCGCTCTGGCCACGCTGGCCCTTCCGCTGGCCTGCCTCTGCCTGGGCAGGTGCCCTTACAAGCACAGCGAGGGCGCCCGCCTCCCCTTCCCCTGACCCTGCCCGGCTGCTTCAGTTGAGACTCTGCCATCCCACCGCCTCCGGAGGTGTGCCTTGAGCCCCGTCGGCGCAGGTGTGCTGATCCTGCCTGTCACTCTCCTGCAGAGCCCTTGCTGCTTGTGGCGTTTTTTCCTTAGTTCTTACATTTGGTTTTTGTAGATTTTGTCTTCTTCCGTTGTCAATTCTTCCTGTCCAGTTTCCCTTCCCTTCCCCTCCAGCTTCTAACATATCAGCTGGAAAAAGTCTCGAGGCTGAATAAGACAAAGTAAAATGGGAGCACAGGCTCTGAGAGAGCCCGAGACTTGTTCTCTTGTTTGGGGCAGAAATGTCCTTTTACTAAAGAGTAGATTTGCTGACATCTGGTTTAGCTATTGAAACTCACTTTGGATTTTTCGTTTGTTGCTGTTCCAAACGGGGTAAGAGCTTAAGCAGCAGATTGCCAATGAGGTGAGGTGAGGTGCTGTCCACCTGAGGGGCACTGTGGGAAGAGGAATGTGGAACCTGGCATCTGCTCATACTGTCCCTGTGAAGAGTTTATCAACAATCATTTGTTTATGTGTGATATTGGTCCAATATATTGTCGACGCAAATAGTCCATAACCAATCTATAGATCAAAATTGGGGTGAGTTTATTATGAGCCAGATCTGAGGACCACATAGCCTGGGAGAGTCCTTCCACAAAGGAATGGAACACTCCAAAGAAGTGGGGTGTTCAGAGTGGTTACATACCCTCAAAGAGCACGGATCACATGTGATTGGAATGTCCCTTTTACAACAGTCACAGGACTGCCCTGTCAGCACAGCAATCGATGGACACAGCAGGTGGCAGGTCTGCTGTCTCGAGCTGGGTGGTCACAGTTGAGTGCAGCAATCAGCTCCTAGCCTAGGGAGAGATGCTTATCCTTAAGGAAATGCCAGTGTGGGGAAGTTGCACCTTTATCTTAAGGGCATTTATTCTTTGGGACACAGCAAATGCTTAAAGCAGATGTACAATGCGTGCTCAACAGCCACAGTCAGGCCCTTTTGGAAAACCAAGGTCAGGCAGAATTAGGTTTATACCAAATGGCTTCTTCATACACTCCAGAATATCCTATTGCTTGCCACTTGTTTATCAATGTGAAAATGTTATTTGAACCCGGGTTGTTCCTACGAAGTAGAGTGTTAAGTTCAGACATAATTGGAGAAGTTCTAAAATGTATCCTTCTTCTGAACATTCTGATGAGAAACTACCAGATTATCTTGAGTACAGAAATAAAAAGACTAATAATTGTGCTTTCCCGCCTCTGGAATTTCTGAGGCGGGGGTGAAGGGCCAGCATGGCCCGGGTCTTCAGCAGTTTGTTTGTTCTGTGTTTTAGCTGTGGTCCCTGGTACCTGCCATTTCCCTAGCCTTATTCTACATCCTTTTTGGAAATTCTGTGAGCTTCTCAAAGTCCTGTCAGCACATTATTTTTCTGCTTAGATCAGTCAGATTTCATTTCTACTGTGTACAATTTAGACTCCTTGCCCGATACATGCTGTACTTAAAATCTTCTTTTTTTAATATTATAACCTCACTAGAGACTGAAAGTAGTTTGTCAGCAGAAGAACAGAGTATAAAAACCCAGCAGTAAATGATGTTCTATGATGCTACATTTTTAAAGACTGTGGGAAAGTAATACAGTTGGGTTTTAATTGTTTGGTTTTCGTTTTTGTTGAATCCTCAAAATAGGCGAGGTCAGATCTATTTCTGATTTAAGGGAAGACTGGAAAACCAAACAAGGGGCTGGCCTGGTGGCATAGCGGTTAAGTGCACAAGTTCTGCTTCTTGGTGGCCCAGGGTTTGCCGGTTTGGATCCGGGGTGTGGACATGGCACCGCTTGGCAAGAGCCATGTTGTGGTAGGAATCCCACGTATAAAGTGGAAAATGGGCACGGATGTTAGCTCAGGGCCAGTCTTCCTCAGCAAAAAAAAAAAAAAAAAAGAGGAGGATTGGCAGTAGTTAGCTCAGGGTTAATCTTCCTCAAAAAAAAAAAAAAGAAAACCAAAGAAAATGAACTCCATGTCTTCTGATTCTTTTGGAGATATCCTTTTTTTAAAATTAAGCAATGAGGATGGTATTTAAAATAATGCCATTGAAAGTATCTTTTATACACATATCTTGTGCACATCTTTAATAATTTCCTTTTGGTAGATTCCTTGAAATACTTAAACCATGGTAGTCTTCCTTTTAGGAGGTTATGAAAAAGGAAGCCTCTTACCAAAAAAAGAACCAAAACTTTTACTTTCTTAGAAAGAAGATTAAATTAAGTTTCATTTGCAGCACGAGAAATTGTGCAATTTCAGTTATGTTCACGTTTCCAATTACACACTCACCTGGTCGCTGTCTGTGAACCCTGGGGGTCTGAGGCAGTGTTATCTGGGGCCTGTGCTTGTCTGAGAAATGAAATGTGGTTAAGCAGAGCCTTTTCCTAAGAGTGGAGCATGCAGAATGGGAACTGAAATCTACATGAAGCCACTCTTGACATTTGTAACTCGTGGTTGTAAGTCAGAGGGGAGGGGTGGATTTCACAACAGTTCCGTGCTGCCAGTGCAACCCAGAAGCTGGCAGCAATATGCCAGTGTGTCAAAACTTTGTTCAAATTACGGCTGAGAAGGCCGTAAGCAAAAGTAGGAGTGTGACAGATCTTCAGACGAGCGCGTAAATTCAGACGTGTGCGGCCTGATACCTGTTACGGGGCTCCTGTAGTCTTAGTCATCAGTTAATCTGGCCCTTGTCTGTTCTTGCTTAATAAAAGAAAAGTGTAAGACCAAGACAGAAACGTTAAGAAAGATCACATGGCTATGACTCCAACTAAAAAAAGCCTCGATTAAGGAACCAATGTTTTTTGCCTTCTAGTTTCTGTTTACTATTTACTATCTGGCCCTTTACAGACAAAGTTTACCAACC